AACCTGCAATTCTTTTTTCAAATTTTCAAGATCATCATTAAAGGTTACTAAAGGCAATTGAAGAGCATTATTAGAATCAATGTTAGTGCATAACAATTTATACTGAGTCAATTCAACATTTAACATGATATTTTCATTTTTGACTCTTTCCAGTGTTTCTTTTAGCATAGTGTTTCTATCTAGCAAATCAAAGAATCTTCCCTGAACATCTGTTCTTGAACTATTCAAATATTTCATATGATCCTTATAGATTTCTAGAGCTTTTTCATTTTGTCCAAGTTTAAGACATATTTCTTTATATTCATCCAATGTTTCTATGAGCAAAGAAATTAATTTGTCTTTTGACAGGGATTTCAGAAATTTAGGTTCGAGATTTACCTCCTCTGACTTTTTAGCAGACTCACTGTGTTTATCCATCAAACACAGGTTTGCCGTCTCTTCTTCCGTGGATTCTTCTTCATCCTCAGAACTTGTGTCTCCCCACGCAACTATCATGGCTTTCCTGTAATCAGATTTTGAAAAGTTAGGAGTATTAGATTTTCCGTGTTCCTTCATTTTGCCTTTTCCTTTTTCTGATTCCCAGAGAGGGCATTCCTTGATGAAGTGATCTGTGTTCCCACATTTGTGGCAACCTCCTGTTTCCTTGGAGTATTGGTTCTTCTTGAAGTTCCTTTTCTTTTGGTCACCAAACCTTTTGTTGCGGTACAACTTTTTTAACTTCCTGACTAGCATGGCAGCTTCTTCCTCTCCAGATTCGGAATCCTCATCACTTGGTTGGGCAACTTTTAAAGCGATTCCTCGGCTTTTTGAGCTTTCTTGACTTTTGTTTGATAGGTGAAGCTCATGAGTTATCAAGGAACCTGCAAGTTGTTCAAGGTTAAAGGTTGTAAAGTCCTTTGATTCCTGCAAAGCAGCCACTTTGGCTCTCCACCGTTCATCTTCAGGAAGGCTTCTTAGAATTTTGCGTACCTGTTCATCCATAGGAACAACTCTACCAAGAGAAACTAATTCATTAGTAATATTTTTAAAACGAGTAAACATTTCTTGAATAGTTTCTTTTGAACCCATTTCAAAACGTTCATATTTAGAAAGCAGTATATCAATTTTAGAACGTTTGACTTCATGAGTTCCTTCGTGGGATATTTCTAGTAAATCCCATATTTCTTTTGCTGTTTTACATCCCATAACACGAGTGTGTTCATCTGGCCCTAAACCCCAAACTAGGAGTTTTTTAGCAGTAGCATTAATCTCTTTCTTCTCAAAGTCATTTCTATCATATTCAGAGATAGGTTTAGGAATTACCTCATTTTCTGCATTGGTCTTGGTTACCTCGTAATCTCCTACTTCGATAGCTCGCCAGACTTGATAATTCTCGGACTGTATGAACATCTCCATCCTTGTCTTCCAATAGGCATAGTACTTCCCATTGAAGAGTGGTGGTCTTTGTGTAGAGTAACCTTCAGCTAGTCTCTCGTCCTTTGACATTGTTCCTCCAGGAACTTGACTCGACAGGGCTTCCTGCTTTTCCGAGTTCCTTGCTCTGATACCAATTGATAGAACAATGTATACTACAAGAGGGGGGGGGGGTGAATTGTAGTGTATGTAGACTATGGTAAATTTTGCGGAATTAAATCTACTACTAAGAGAAAAGACACTGAGATAGGCAATGAATAAATTCACTATGTAAAAATGATTTACAATCACTAATACGTTGCCTAGACTCAAGTTCCGTGAGGAACTCAAGTTACCCAACTGTGATCCCTCAATCACAGTTTCTCACACTTTGTGATTCTACTCCGAATCACTTGTACAGTGTAAACAACTCTCTCAAATCTCACACTTTACAACTCTCACAACCCAAACCCAATTACACAATGATTACAAGTATTTTCTAAAGAACTTAAGAGACTAAGGATGGAAGGAACTTCTCTTTTAAACACTTTGAAACTCTATGCTCAGAATACTTAAGATTGTTTTTCCACTCTTTCAAAACTTAACGTTGATCTGTTTTTATAAGGAGTTAAACCAAGCTTCCATCAAGTTCCCACTTCCCCCTTAATCCCACGTTCTCTTTAACTGAGAAGTTGGGATGTAGGCTGAGGAAATTTAGGAACATGATTTCCCTAGCTTGACTCCTAAATCAACGTGCTTCCTTAATTTAAGTAAACAGTTATTTTTACTAAGTCAAAAATCAGTTAAGGATTTAAAAAGATAATTATTTATTAATTAAAAAAGATAATTGTTTATTAATTAAAAGATAACTAAATAATTAATTAATTTAAAAACTTATCTTTTAAATTAATGAATTATTTTGATTTTATTTATTTATAAAATAAATCTTTTTCAAAACTGATTTTATCTTTTCCTTAAATTAAGGGATATGAAAACTGTTTTTGAAAACCATCGTTTAAACACTTTTCTGAGCATCAGTCAAGTAATTTCAAGAATTCCAGATTCCATCAGGAACTTTGAGTTTCTCATGAGTTCCTTCCAACACTTTTGTTTCTTAAGTTCATGCACTGAATAACTAAGTATACTAGAGTTGTGAGGACATCTTGAAAGCTTGCATTCATCATCAAGTCTTCCAAACTCTGTTGTTCCTACTCCGGAACATATATTCGTATACCTGAATCTTTCTGTTCAACCAAGACTTATAAACATCATTAGTCAGAGTTTGTTTTACGTAAATCAATCATTAAAATATTAAGGTGGTCAATTCAACACCTAACTTGCCACTAAATAATTTTATGATTAAGGTATTTTTCCATGGATGCCTTAATCTCTTTTTTTCCTCCTTGGACAAGCTAATAACAGGACACCTTTCATCGTTTAAGATTTCCTCTGGTGGAGCTTCATCATCAGAAATCTCATCCTCTTCTATGTCACCCATCAGAGGGACATGGAGATCCCCCTGGTTGACATCCTCATTACCCTTCAGAAGATCTCAAAACGACATCTGGGAATGATGACTCTCCTTATTTTGATTTGGCTCATTAGGGTTCATCTCAGTATCATGATGAGGTTGCCCCCCCATGGTTATCCTCAGTCTCCATCATTACATCCTCATTGATTTTAGAACGATTGAGGATGAAGTCTGTACTTTTCCGTTTAGGTTTCTTATTAGACCGATCTAATTGATCATATTCTTCCCTAGTTTTCCCTGTTTCCACCATAGTTAGAGAGCTTTTTTTTATAAGTAGTGAGCAAATTAAATGGCTTGTTTAGAGAGTATTTTATAAATATGCAAAATATTAAAAACAAAGGATACACATACGCATAAGTGTATGTAAAGTTGAATACAAGTTTAATTTTCCACTCTACTCATTTGATCCGACATTGTTAATTTTGTTTGTACTTCCCTGTTTTCCATCTATATTTATATAAGTCATACAAATGCACTCTTAAATGTTTTGTTAAAAGACATGATAGGGTGATACTCAATGCGTGGTTCCTACACCCAGGTGATCGACATGGTACACCTGAATTTTAAATTTTAAAATTTAAATTTCATTTTCAAAATGTTATTATCCAAAATACTATATTTAGTTCCCTTTCTTTAAAAAAATTAATAAATATTTTTCACCAATTTTTTCACCAATTTTTTTAAAAAATTTAATTATAATATTTATTTTAATGATTGTTCTGTGTACTTTTTATGAGGCTCTTTATATGACTATATAATATTATTTATAAAAAAATAATTTTTATTCTCTAAAATTATTTCACCGAAAAATAACTTAAGATTTCGTTTTTAAATTTCAAAATTTAAATTTATAAAATTTCGTTTTCAAAATTTTAGTTTTCAAATTTTTTTAGTATTTCGTTCATATTTTTCACCTTTAATATATATAGTTACAATATTCATTTTAGGGTTGGTATATATAAATTTTTTGTGATGTTCTATATGTGATTTAATAATGTTCTCTATTAGAAAACATGATGTACTTTATAGTTGTTTGTTACGTACAATTATTTCGTAAAACTATATTTTTTTTTCCTTATGTCCATAATTATACCATATAATGATTTTTATTAGATATTTTGATAGTTTATTTTAATTGTCCATTTTTTTATTGTAATTGCAATGTACTTTTATCGTTACATAATGTTCATTGCTTATTGTGAAATGTTCTTTGAATTTTGATTTTGGATCGTCGTAGGTATATATATATAAGTTATGTTCATTACATAATATTATCATGTTCTTTAATAATATTACGAATGTTCTTTAGATCTGAAAAACAATCATCAATAGAGGAGATCTCAAAAGAATATTGTCATCAACCTTCACAATCCTGATTTTTAAAAAATATATACGTAGTTAGTGATTATTAATATTAAAAAAATACATATATAGAATTAATAAATGATAGATTATTTAAAAATACAGAATAAACCAAAGAACATCGAAGCAAAGAACATAAAGGATAAAAATAAAGAACATTCATATACACTACAAGAAAAATGTGAATTAGCGACGGCCAAATTAGTCGCAAATCCGTCGCAAAAATGGATTTGCGACAGATTTGCAACTACTTTGGCTAGTCGTTAAAGACCTCGTCGCAAATCCATATTTGCGACTAATTTTTGGATAGTCGCAAATTTAGCGACGAATTTGCAACGACTTTGCAATTACCATTTAGCAACTACCTTTAGAATTTTAGCAACTAAACCTTTGTTCGTCGTAAAATATTTGCAACGGATTAGCGACTATGGAGACAAATGTTTTAAGATTATGGAGACCAATGTTTTGTGACGGATTAGCAACTACCATACGAACATTTTGCAACTACGAAGGCTAATTTATTTTGCGACGAATTAGCGACTACGAGCTTTTTTTTTTTTTTTTTTATTTTTTATTTTTGGCGACAGATTAGAGAATAATGAGACCAATTATTTTGCAACTAGCCATTCAGTCTCTAAAAGAAATCTGCAGTCACTAAATTTTGCAACCACCAATATCAGTCACAGAAAAAAGGGTTACTAAGCATAAATTAAACTAACCAAAATGTCAATTTTATTCATATATCAAAAATATCATCAATTTTGTATCAATATATTAAAAAACAATATTCTAAAACCATAAGAATAATTGTTTCAAAATCACCTCCCGTATAAAGGAAGCTACTTCCAATAAGAACTAATGATATACAAATACGCCTCCAATATATAGATCAACTGTTCACAAAATTACCACCAAGAAATAAAATCACTAAGTTGCATCACGATACAGGGTGACAGTAAACGTAGGAGGCTTCGTAGGATAGTAATGTTGGACAAGTGTTGTCATATCCTTCAATGTTTTGTGCTAAGCTTTTTTTCCTTCTTCCATGTTGCTTATTCTATCTCATGATTTTCAGCAATTTCCCTGGCATATTTTAAGCTTTCTGCCGCCATTTTTTGGCTTTCTTCTGCCTTGTCATTGTTTTCTTCCGCCATCTTCTTTAATTCTTCAACTTGAAAGCTTAGTTGAGATATAAATGATAACAAGCCTAGATAATTTATTTGACAGATTCTCTTTCTTATGATAGGAAACCAGACATACAATCATCTACAAACGCAACGTTGGAATGTTTCTCACTTTCTCAAGGGTATTTACATGAAGCATACATTGGCAATCTAATAACACATATACCTGAGTTCTCTATACAAGTATATAGGCCAAAAACCTAATGAAAAAATAAATAAATATGTGAACAACATCCTAATCATGATATATAATCACACAAGAAGACATAAATAAGATAGACTCAATGATTATATAATTGCAGCTTTTCTCCAAATTTCAAGCGTGGAGAGGGTGTTTCAATCAGACACTTGATTGGAAAGCAATTGACAAACCAATGTAATTAATTTTACAAGCATTGCCCTACTATTGTACATTAAACATTTTCAATGGAACCATGATGACTAGAGCAATCAATTCATTATAGTTAAGAGCAACAGAGCAGCGAGAACATAAATATGTGAGTTGCGACCTTGCACAAAAGCAGTTAATAGAGCATGTAATTCTACAGACTTCAAAAAAACATGACATCTAATAGCTACTCATTCATCTAGCCAACTTTGCACCTTAATAATCGATAGTGGTATCAATGAAAATCAGTTTTTTTTATACCAGGATAAGGAAGAACCAAGAGCAAAGCATCAGTTTTGGGAAGAATAGGATATCCGGTAAGTCTCAAATGAGGAAATTTATGTCTATGCTGATATACCCAGTATAACTAATCTAAGCTACGCATTAACTACAAATACTGAATTTAACATATAATAGATACAATAATCAGATAATTGTAATTCAAAGTAGCTTAAATGAAGTCATATAGTGTATACACAATCCTTTTTCTTTATTTTTGAAACAATTGAAAGAGAAGTGTTCAATCTTCATTAGGTAGGAAAACATAAATAGACAGAAACCAAAAAAGAAACTTAATAGGAACAAAAAAATGAAGCAATAATTGTTATATATAGTATACATCTAAACTTAATGCATCTGTGTATGATATCCATGATTTGCATATGCTTATAGTGAAACAAGTAGAATAGAACTATAGTAGATTGCTACAACTCAATATGTTTTACCTAATTAGAGAACAAAATTTCAGACCAGAGGAAACTACATACATCAAAATATGCAGCTGCATATGAGATATATAAGTGAAGTTAGTAAGATTGTGTTGCTTAGAAGTAGATTATATTGCTTAGATCCCTGTAAGATTCACATTTTAAGAGTTCTACAATATTATACCAGATAACAAAAGATAAGCCATAAATTCCAGGGGCTTCATATAAAAGGATATATTTAAAAGTCAGTTTATGAGTTCTACAGGTGGGTCTGCACCAATTGGATTCGAATTTTGAGGCGATTCCAGTTGCAGTAATTAAAATAGGATATCTAGTGTTAAAGAAAAATATTAGAAAAATTAACCAAAAATATTTTTTGGGGTTTTAAGACAGGTTTTGTCAAGTGGTACAACTGGAAAATCTGATAAGCATGTTAAGCTAGCAAGGGTTGTTTTCCTTGATGTTTTATGCAATTTCTTAGCTTTGTTTTGTAAGTTTTGCTTACATAGCTGTAGCCTATTTAAAGGCCTAAATTCATCAATAATATTCAGTTTTTCAATCCACTAAAATCCCCACCCCAACAACTAAGCCTTAGAACTTGGATACAAGTTTATTAGACACCTTAATTGAATTATATGAACAGATTTTGTACAGGTATATTATAGTTGCTTACAATTCAATGCGAATCACTACAAAGTCTTTAAACATCTAACCAAAAAGATTCTAACAGTATAAAATCAAACGATATTACCCATATAACATCAACGTAATTTAAAGCAGCGAATATCAAAAGCATAAATCTGAAACACATAGAAGCAGGGGGAATATTATTGAGCACTCATTATAGACAGCCAAATACATTAATCATTGACTCATATATTAAACAAGATAAATTATTAAACAAGCAATAAACATACCTAATTAGTGTCTTTTTCTCGACTTCTTTCTTTTTGACAGGGAGTTCTTTTAAGTGCTGCTTATATATAGACAACATATAATGGAGTTATAGCTCAATCGTAGATTAAATAGAAAAAAAAGGCAAAGTAATTAGGCAAACAGAATTGAAATTGACAAAATAAGTAAACATATAGTAATGAGAAATTGACAAAACCCAAACATTCGTTAATCGTATGGATAATAGCAAAGCAGATAAAAATTAAGCAAAATTGAAAGGGGAAATTAAAAAAACTAAAATATTGATGAGAAAAACCTTCTCTAAGGATGAGGAAATTCAGCAAATTGTATGGGTTGATTGAAATTCACAAATAGACTTGAAGAATTAAGCAAATTTTAAGACCAAATTCAATGTTTGGGGTTCTTCAAGCCAAAATTCGAGATTAATATCGAGATTAAAATCAATTTACAATTCGCAATGGAAACCAGATTAATAAAAAAATTGGACAACAAACTCAATGATAACCCTTCGTAGTTGGAAAATTGCAGTAAGAAGAAGATGGAATAGACGCTAGGAAAAGGAAGAATTCGTAACTAACCTTGGTGGACTGGAGATATGGTGGCGCAGCGGCGGAAGAAGACAACGTCGACGGGTTCGATCTGAAATGGCCTGCTTATGTTTACTGCATAAAGCTTGTACATTCGGCTGTCATTTTCTGACTGAAACTTTTATGTTTTCGTGGTTTCAGGGAAAGGAGCTTGGTGAGTGATTAGAATTGGTTATGATGACATACACTTATCAAGCCCTGGTTCTTTATCTGAAAAATATGGCTAAAAGAGTATGTAGACTATGTATTACTCACGTATTAATGTATTATGAATAAAGGAACTACTGAATGAGTGATGTACTAAGGGTTTTTTTGTTTTTTTTTATTTCTTTTTTAATAAATTTTAAAAAGAATGGTAGCGACCTAGCGACTACCATGTTAGTTGCAATAGAATGGTTTCAAAATTATTAACACTAGCAACTACAATTTAGTTGCAAAATATTATAAGAGCGGCGCAGATTAGCGACCTTATAGCAACTATTACAAGATCGGTTGCAAAAATTGCGACTTTTCGCCTTTTTCCGCCGCAAATAATATTTTTGCAACAGATTATTATGGTAGTCGCAAAAACCAGTTGCAAATTAGCGACCGCATAACAACTACTGCAAAATCGGTTGCAAAATTTGCAACTACTCGTCTTTTTCACTCGCAAATATAATTTTTGCAATTGATTATTGTGGTAGTCGCAAAAATCGGTTGCTAATTTCCCTTTTTCTTGTAGTGATAATTGTTCAATAACTATAACGACGAACATAAGTATAATTTATAAAGAACACCATCTTCAACATTTGACAAAATATAAAGAACATCATCTTCAACCTTTGACAAAATAAAAGAATATCATCTTCAACCTTTGTCATATGGATCTCAAATTCATAAATATCAAAATTGAAAAAAAAAACGACGATATTTTACAATAATCGTGCAAAATAATCACGAAATATATAATCAATCTAATAAGCAATATCCTGAAATTAAAATCCTAACAAATAAAATCAAATTATCTTCTCCGATTCATCGATTACAATGTTGTCATAATTTGCTCTGTATTTTTCTGTCTACAAAATTCTTTATAAACTTTATTCTCTCTTAATTCAAAATTGAAATATGGTGAAATTTATTTTTGAAAGTTATAAAAAAATGGAGAATATCACGTTGAATCCCATGAATTGTGGAAGAGATTGATTTTTTTTTTTTTTTTTTTAAAAAAAAAAAAAAAAACAAACAAACTGACAGCTTGCAAATGATATGTTAAAAACGCATCACTTAACACTAGGTGTACTATGAGCATGGTATGTGTAAACATGTTAGTATAATAAAATTACGTAAATGATATCTTATGTCACTAATCTCGAAATTGAAGGCATATAACATTGCATTAATGGATTATTATATTATCAACAACAAAATACAACATTAAGTTATTACAATTACGATCTAATATAAAATTTACATAAAGTAGCTAGCTAGGTTGCATCTTGAAAAGAAATAAAACACAAAAAAAAAATCAACTCCGTGAATATGATTCAAGTCTCTGATTTCATAGCAGTAGCTGACATGGCAACAACGGCAAGAATCTTCAAAACATTCAGCATTGGTAGTTGGACTACTTGTAGATGAAAGCTGCAATAGTCTATAAAAGAGTAAGCACAAAAAGTATGATTGCAGCGATCACTGACATGATTGTCCATGGATGATTGAAGTATTTGCTCCTCAAAATAGCCATCCATCGATTCCGACGGGTTGAAGCGTAGCGATTCAGAGCATCACCGACATCAAAGTAATTATTGTTGCGTCTTTCAATCACATTTTTGGTAATATTGTTGAAAAGCTTTACAGCATCATCATCACTTCCTAGATGATTACACACAATTTTATATTTAACTAACACTTGCACGTCTTCCATGGTGTCTATCAGTTGATCAAGGAAGATAATATAATCACTGAAGTAAGTATCTTCCAAATAATGGCACTGTTCAAAATAAACCAAGTTCCGTAGGGAAGATTCTGTGGAATCTTGTATTATTAATTTCGAAATCGTGAGTTTTCCGTTATCAAATGTTATATCAAGTGGATTGTCAGTTTCACCTGCCATAAATGTGACTCCTGCGTCAAATAGTTGTTTGGCAGTGTAACAAAGACGACCAGTAGAATGATAATCATTAGTTTTCGTCTTGAGATGACGCTTATGCAGCCTATTACTTAATGATGACGGATAGATCAAAGACAGCAGCTTGTGTATGTATGAATCTGAATCGGTCGTTGGATTTGTATTTGGTTGGTTGCGCAATGGTGTGCTCAAAGAAAGGCAACAACACATCCTTCGGAGATCCAACAAATGTTCAATTTTATCATCTTCAATAATACTAATAATGGCCTTTTCTCCAGGGATTTTAATACCAACACTAAATATGAATACAATAGTAACAATAATAAGAGGATTAGGTGTGCAGGTGTTACCAAATGCTATATCAAAGAATTCCTTGAGAACAAAATATGGAATTTGGTTTTCCAACCGAAATAAATCCCGTTTCACATAAATCATTTTTGCTCTTAAATTATTCCCAACTAAAGGTACATAAAACGAGAGCGGCAAAGTTGTACTCAAGAATAAGTAGACCAGGAATGCAGCATCAAGAACTATCATTTTAACAAACTCGTCGTTAAAATATTCAATATAAGGATTCAAGCTGTGACGAGCATTATTGCTGGGATGTTGAAGGAAGCTATCCAAGTAAATCCATTTAACCGCTTGCATGGGTTCTAGTTTTGGATCTTTATAGAATACGGGACCAATTGACATCACTAAAGGCTGATAAAAATATTCATGCCCCTTCAAGATGAATTCAGGAACTTTATAAATGCACCAATTCTCGTTAAAGGAAACATTCAAGGAGTCCAGCTCCTTACGCATTGAAGTTAATAGCACCCCGTTATTTTCATCTTGCTCTGTTATTTCATTTTGTAGAGTGTTGTTTTCCATCTGTATTAATCGTAGAATGTAAGCATATATCTCATTTTTCAAATAATTTTATCCATATGTTAATGAGACAGTAAGTATAGAAACTAATCAAATAGACGGAATCGACTTTTCAAATTCCCAACAAATGATAGCATATGCTTCAGATTATTATTATGGAAATTTTGTGTAGAACTACCCTAAAGATAAGGTCATTTGTGAACAACTATCCATTTTTTTTATTTGTTTAGAACTACCCGCAAGTTTGGAAAAGTTTGGGTAGCACTACCCACTAACGTTTTTTCGTCCAATAAAAATGTTATTTTGGGCCAATTTTTCACTTTTTTCAATTACAATGGCCAATTAATGCTAAAATAAGCAAAAACCCCAATTCAATTAAACCCCCAAACCTTAGAAATTAAAATCCCCAAATAATACTACACTCATGAACCCTAAAATGAATTATGATTAAAACCCTAATTAGGTTAATTAAAATAGATTAAAACCTTTATACAAATTGAGAGAATTAATTGGGTGGCAAAAGTGAAAAAAATGAGCCCCGATAACATCTTAAATTGGACGGAATATGTTAATGGGTAGTGATACCTAAATGTTTTCAAACTTGTGGGTAGTTCTAAACAAATAAAAAAAAAATGGATAGTTGTTCACCAATAAACCCTATCTTTAGGGTAGTTCTACACAAAATTCCCTATTATTATATCTTCTATAATCAAATTCAAATCAACATCAACTATATTTAACTAGAACTAGTCTCTTCGGAGACATCTGATATTTAACTAGAACTATGATTTAAATTTTATGGTTGGGGTTGATGAAAGAAAAATAATGGTACGGTATGATCAAGGCCATTTTAAAAATAATACACTTCTGTTTTTTTTTGGGAAATTCTCAACGGTGACCCCCTAGATTTTGCTACGCACCAATGGTGACTTCCCTATTTTTTTATTATACAAAATGACCTTTATTATGAAATTTATCTCACTTATGACATTAATAATTATTATTTAGTTAAAAAAAACTTACTATGGTTAATTTTGAAAAAAAAGAAAAAACCCTAAAAAGAAAACCACTAACCTAGCCACCACCTCCACCCTCATCCCCACCACGTAGCTAGGCCAACAACACCTCTACCCTAACTGGAGCCATCAAACCCCTCATCTAAAACGCCGACCTCCCACCAAACCGCCGAACTATCGCCCCCACCTTTTCCACCGCCTAGAACTGAACCCTAACCTCAAAACTTTCTATCCTCTGACCTTCGATTATCGCCGTGGGGTTGGTTTTGGTCGAGGAAGGGTGGCGGGTTTAGGGTTTGAGGTTTCTAGTCTGGGCGGGGATCAAAGAGAGATCGGTGAAGGAGAAGGCAGAGAAGAATGAGATAGAGATCGATCAGTGGTCAAACCTGGGTACGTAAATTTATGGTATTGGGATGGTCGGAGTTCTGGAGTTCAGGCGATTTAGAGGTCGTGACGGTGAGAAGGAGGAGAGAGAGTGAGGGTCGTGGGCGGGGATTTAAGAATGAACCTTGGCGGTGGTCGATGTAGAACTGGCGCAGCGTCACCGGAGGTCTGGGATAGCTTGAGTAGCATCAGTGGCAGTAAGAGAAACCTAAGGTAGCGTCGCCAGAAAGGGTAATGGTGGCTGGCAGGTGGGGGTGGCTGGTTTTTGGTGGTTGGGGCTAATTTTTTTAATTTTTTTTTTAAATATAAATCTAACCATAGTTAATATTTAATGAAATAAGGTTATGAGTGAGATGAAATTTTTAACTAAGGTCATTTTGTATAATAAAAAAAAAGGGGAGGTACCATTGGTGCGTAGCAAAAGTTAGGGCTTACCGTTGAGAATTTCCCTTTTTTCATTTAAAATCTTATCATTATTTATAAGATGAGAAATCTTCTATATTACTCTCAATATATAAAACACATAAAATAGCCATATTGGATTTAACTTGATTTTGTTCAATCAATAATTTATTAATGTTTAACTAGCTTTTCTATAAATATTCAACTAATTAAGTTATTCATGGTGAAAATAATACATTGGCAAACGAACACAGTTAAAATGGAAATAACATATAAAACAGGGGGAGTATTTGCTAAAAATAACTAAATTAAAAAAATGGTTAATTATGCAAGAATAAATTATATTCAGCAAAAAAAAAATTTAGATTTTGTAAAATCAAAAACTTTAAAGCGCAATAACTTCAAAAAAACTCATATAAAAATATCAATAAAAAAAATTTTAATCGTTAAAAATCAATAACTTTTTTAAAAAACTCATATAATAAAGAGGTTGTAAAAATAATTTAAGCTCAACGAAAATATTTTAAGTAATTAAGTTAAATATACCATGTTTGGAAAAAATAACAAATGTAAGGGATATAAGAGCGATTTCGTTAAATATATGAGGTATCGGAAAATAGATGTGTGATAAGAGCAGGTTAAATATTGGGGCCGTTCATAAAAAATTTCCCCCTACCGGTGGGTTAATTAGAAAATTGAACTCACCGGCGGAAATCATAAATTTCACCCAAAAATTCCACTATGCAATTTCTTTTTTGTGAGTTGATTCGAGCCTGATTTTGCTCCTTTAGATATGAGTTTGATTTTGCTCTAAAGTAAAATCAATAAGAGATTTAAGTGTGGTTTACTTTGAAAAACCCAATAAGAGATTTGAGTGTGGCTTACTTTGAAAGACCGTTAAGAGATTTGAGTGTGGTTTACTCTGAAAGACCTTTAAGAGATTTGAGTGTGGTTTACTCCGAAAGACCTTTAAGAGATTTGAGTGTGGTTTACTCCGAAAGATCACTAAAAGACTTGAGTGTGGTTTACTCTGAAAAACCAATATTTGATTGGAACTCGATTTTGCTTTGGAAAACCAAAAAATTGTTATCTTTGCAGGTTCCAAAAGAGTGACATTCCTGCGTAATTGATGATCGATGAGTTCAAAAAAGATGAACATTCTCATCATTGGAAAAAAAAAAAAAAATTTAAGGCGACATCAACAGAGTAGTGCACCTCGATCGACTTCAACAAAGTGAAAAATTGAAGGCGACATCAGCAGAGTATTGCAACTCGATCGACTTCAACAAAGTGAGGAATTTCCAATCGCAACGTTCGTATTACTGTCGTTACGATTGTGGGAGGGTGTTAGAGATATGATATATTGGAAAATATATGTGTGATATATTTTCCGTATGTATCTTATTATGAGAATAATATATTCAGATATATTTATGTTAAGATAATATTTAGTGAATATATGATTAAGATATATGGTATATCTTTTAGGAATATTGTTTCCTATCTTATGATCTTAAGTTTTGTATAAATACTTAACCTATTGATGAATAATAATGAAGCAATACAAGTAATTCTATTCTCTCTTTCTCTAAATTTGTCAGATTATCCATCAATTATAGGGAGTATAATATATATATGGAAAAAAACTAATTTAGACAAACTAAAAAGTAAAATAAAGCATATATAGACCCATGTTCACTTCATCTTAAAAAAATAATCTCAGTTTAGTAAAAATAATTTCATTTTAGCAAAAAGAAGTCCAGTTAAATAAAAATAAGTTTAGTTCAATATAATCTGTGACCTTAAAAGATGAAATATAACTGAAAATCAGTTAAAAAAAAATAGTTTCAGTTTAGTAAAATTAATTTAAGATCAACAAAAGTAATTTCAAATCAAAAAAAATAAGGCGAAGTAAATGGGACCCAAATTACGAACTTGTTTTACATTCATAATAATTTCTAAATAAAAAGTAAGACACCATATTAAATATTTAAATTATATGGAAAACAATTGCGGGGACTTACGGCTAATTGCTAATCGAGGAAATACTAGTTGATAAGCCAGATTGACAAAGAAAGCACATCAGGGGGTATTTTGGTAAAATACCTTAAAAAGGTAAGGGTAAATATGTAACATCAGGGAGACGTTAACATTTACTGGAAAATGTTGACTAACGTCTTCCCCAGTCAAAGCAGTAAAATTCCGTTAACATCGTTTGCATCAATTTCCCAATTTCAAAAACCGAGTCCCTGAAATACCATCTTCTACCACACACCATTACATTCTACAAAATGCCAGAATTGGATTGAAAATAAGGTACCCAATCATGAGTACTAACTAAAATTCAGAATAATATAACTTTTTATTAAACAAATCTGATCAAACCCAATACCCAACAACAAATATAAGCAATACTAATCTGTACATTAAAACCCAAATGTAAATATAGAATTGAATACCAGGAATTACGAGTAAGCAGGTAATTTGACTTGCTCGACAAACCTTCGCTTATTTCATCTTCCGAGCCCACAAGGATCGCCCAACAGATCTAAATGATTATAGCAATGTCGTTCCAAGGTAGAGGGTCAAATTTTTTAAAATATTCTGTTTTTCGTTTGGGTTTGTTGTTAACGGCTTTAATTGCCACGTTATATGGCCCACACTAAAGGCAGAAATCCGTCCTTAACGCGAAATAGTACAAAGGAATATAAAAATAATATGCAGTACGCTGTGTCTGGCTCTTGCAAATCTGTAGCAACAATTGGATTCAACACGTACACTGTGCCTCGCAAGGTACCCCGAAGAGAGTGGAAAAAAAATAAACTTTGAATGAAAAATATTTCGTACGTTTTAAAACTGTTAGTAAAATGTACGAGTAGATCTTTGCCTTGTACTGTTTTAGTTTTTATATAGCTTTTCAGCTTCTGCTTGACATTATTGCTTTACATCTATAATTAAAAGTACTCCCTCTATTTTTTAAATGCTACACTTTAATTTGTATATAAACTTTTGTATACACTCGATTTACACTAATATTACTATACATCGAGCAGGGGTAATTTTTTGCCTTTTTTTGAGTAACTTTAAACCTCATACAATTTTTATATACATAGACAACAAGAAAAGTTTTATAATGATAATTTAATTACATTCAATAACTAATAATAGATTTTTAGTCATTTAAAATGTGATTCTTTATTACTAATAAAACGTAGATAATTTTTATTTGTATTGGGTTACTTTTATGTATATTGGGATAACTTTTATTCATTTCAGGGGGAACTTTTGATCACTTTGGCCTATATTTATAATGAATGTACAATAATTACATCCGTTTTTTTTAAAAGTTTGTGTTTTTAGAAAAATAAATGGACTTCAATCTAAAACACTGTAAGGAGTACATTAAAAAAATAAAAATAAAATAAAAAAGACATTATAATGAGGTTAATATTTTGGACTTTTTGTGAATAATTACCTTATAAGGGATATAAGAGCGATTTTTCATCAATTATAGGGAGTATAATATATACGGGGAAAACTAAATTATACAATATAAAAAAAAGTAAAACAAAGCATAATAAATTGAAAGCTTGTTTTACATTCATAATACTACCTCTATTTCTTATTATGTGTAACAAAGGAATATTTTATATGTCACAAATAATACCCTTTATTGCACATAATAAGAAATGGAGATAGTAATTTCTTAATAAAAAGTAGGACAACATAAAGTATTAAATACTCAATATTTAAATTATATAAAAACAATTGCGGGGACTTACGGCAAATTGCAAAGCTGTAGCACCAATTGATTCAACACGTGCACTGCGCCTCGCAAGTTACCCCGAAGAGAGTGAGATTAAAAACAAAAAAAAAAAAAAAAAAAAAAAAAAAAAAAAAAAACTTTGAATGAAAAATATTTCGTACGTTTTAAAACTATTACGGAGTGCTATTATAATGTATGTGTATTCTTTGCCTCGGGCTGGTTTGCTTTTTATACAGCGAGCTTTTTAGCTTCTGCTTGGCATTTTTGTTTTACACCTAAATCCAAAGTACTCTTATCGGTATATAATTTTTGAAAAATCAATGGACTTCAATATAAGACATTGTAAGGAGTATTTTAAAAAATTATTATAAAAAATAATGAAATTAATATTTTATTAAACATAAATACTTATATGTGATATGTGGCTAGTATGGCTACTTCACAAATAATAACGTATTTAATTACATATTAAGGGTTACAATGATGAGGAAACGGGGTTACCTTGATGTATAAGAGATTATTTCAATGGAAAAATAGGGTTACTTTCACAAAAAAGTCAGTTATTCTTTCATTAGTCATAATAAAAATAAAAATAAAAATAATAGTGTGTTTAAGTAGGGACCATGAGAGGGGAGAGACAATTAATATTTAAATGAGTAAGTTGCTAAAAAAAGATGTGTAATACTAAAAAAAACCATTAAAGGAAAGTGTAACACTTTATATAAGCGACAACAAAATGAAAGTGCATTCCCCCTGTTTCTAATTAATTAATACGTTTAACTTTGTCATTTTACTATTAAATACTTACTCTGACTATCATTTTTAGTAATATAAAAATAAATTATAACATAAAATATATTGTTAAACAAATATTAATATGAGTTTTAATATTGTTTACTAATATTTGATCATGTAGTCAAACTAGTGCATTGACATTTGCTAGTTTGGCTATTTCAGTTCTAGAATTGGAAGGAGTAACACAAAATAAAATAAGGAGGGATTACTAATTTTATTTGTGAGAAATTTTCCCTCAAAAATGCTATTTTTTTTTATTAAATTCAATTAAAAATTTGAAATTATTTGCACATAATTAAGGATTTTAAGTGTCATTATTAAATACATTTAAATTTCAAGTGTTGCCTAAGCTAAGTCATTTAATTTCAATTCCATTCCATTTCAATTGATATCATTATTAATAAATCTTGTTTTGCTTCAAAAAAAAAAAAATCTTGTTATCATAATTAGCAATAATAATAATGTAGATTTGTAATTTTGTAAGTTGTGAGTGAAGGGATAAGGTTTGAGTGATATTCGTTTGGGAGTTGAGAGTGAAGAAGGGATAAACTTTGAGTGATAATTGTGAGTTGAGAGTGATGAAGGGATAAGGCTAACAAAAACCTTCAAATCCGAGGAATGTCACATCAAATTAATTTGAAATATCAAATTACTTGGAGGCCTAGCAAGGTCCGAAAAGTCTTCAAGTACGGAGAATGAAGAACAAAGGCACTCGTGGTTTATAGCAATTGTTCAATTATGGGAAGATATTTTGGGTAGACTGCTAGCTGGGAAGATATTTTATGTACGTAGACTGAAATTTAGGCTGTTCATGGTCCGATTTCGTTTGTTTTGGATCCCAAATCACAAAATTAAGGTTCGTAGTAATATTGGGATGGATTATAACTATTTGAGTCAATCAAATATAGGGTTGATATTAAAAAATAAAGCAAAAAAAAAAAAAAATCAAAAAATCAAAACATCTAGAATTAAGTATCATTGTTAGGATAATTGTTAGTTGAGATGATTAATACAAGAGGGGGGTGAATTGTATATAGTTCCTAATGACTACTTTTTGCGGATAAATAAACAATGCGTATAGGAACTTAAGCATACACACAAATTTTACGAGGAAACCTTCCAGGGCCCAACTGGAAGTAAAAACCTCGACCCTACCTTAGGGATTTCAAACACAAAACACTTCACTATAATAGGGCAAACACCAAGTTACAACCTATTAGACACAGACCTTTATTTCACAAGTTCCTCACTGGACTTGTTACTTGATAGGACCCTATCCTACCCAATCTAAGCACCACACTTAGATTCACTCGTACCACCAAAGTACTACTCGTACTACCAAAGTACAAAACACTCGTACCACCCCAGTACAAAACTCACAGCCTCACCAAGAAGCTTACACAAAACTGTATATTACACAAACTATAAAATCACCCAAATAACCCAACCAATATAAATATAAGACGCCTATTATAATAGGTAAGCAATGCACGAAATCCGAAACTAATATGATAAGTTAAAAGCTTGGTAAACTTACTCGTTTAAAGCACTGTGATTTCTCCACGCATAAACTCACCAAAAACCCAAATCATTTTGCTCTCTACTATTTATACAAGTAATACTTGTATAGAATGTAGGTTTTCTAAAAAGATAAATATGTTAACTTGACTTATCTTTATTAACCACGGTTTTAGTAAATCAGGTGGAATGAAATCTTTTTCGAAAAATAAGTATAAAAGATATTTATTAAGAAAACTTATCTTTCTTAATAAACCGACTTTAGAGAAAAATAATCTTTTTAGAAAATCTTTTCCTAAAATCTATCTTTTATTATTTTCTATATTTTATTTATTTACCAAGCAAACTTATCACGTTTCTAATAAATTTCGTGCACTAACCTACTTACCATATTAACAATAATTTCTAAGAATAAAACTTTAACAATTATTGCTGCGCCGTACTCTGATCAGATGAATTACTTGGGCTCCAAGCATAAGTTCCACCAAAGAACTTAACTACTAGTCTTCAAGTTCCTGTTAGGGAACGATCCTGTTAGGGAACTTAGTTCTTGCTAGAGAACTCTTCCTCTGATTTGTTTAACTTTTTCAATAAAGATCTTCTTCATGTCTTCTTAGATTCAGATGGTTCTTCAACCACCAAGATTATTCTGTACCTTGACTAATCACACACTAGAGAATCTTTATTAGATGAGTTTGCTTTTAGTTTAAGTTCCTCATCATCAAAACCTTTATACTTCAACAATAATCAATACAACAAATTCCTACTTCATTTTATCTATTACATGTTCACAAGAAAAGGTATGGCCTAATAACACCAAAGGTACCTTAATGTGATCAAAACAAAAGAATAATAACAATACTCATAATCCCTAATCTAATACTCGTATTAACATAATAAGCATGCACTATCAATTAAGAATGAACACATAAAAATTTATTGAGAATTTAAAATGAATAAATTAAACATCAATCATGACTAGGATTCTACCTTAATCTAGAATTTGGGAATTACTTACACATATTAACAAGAACAATAATTACAGAAAATATAATTAATATTTAAAGAAATTAAAGAGAATAAGAAAATACCAAATCTTGAATTACAATGACAAATAAATTCTTAAGTAATGACTCGTGAAACAACAAAGCCAAGGAGTTTTTATGATAAAGCTAGGAGGTTAGGATAAATAAAGAAATCAAAACGGGCTAAACCATGCAAGCACAAGCGTGCTGACGTGCCAATTTCCTTCGCTAATGTGCCTGTCTACTGCGCACATAACTCGTCAAAATTGGCCGTAATTTGAGATTTAGAGTACAGTTTTGTTCTTTTGTTTGAGGCGTGTAATATATCTAAAGGTTTTTTTTATTTATTTATTATTTTTTTTAAAAAAGATAATTTTTTGTTTTTTAAATAAATTAAATACTAAATCACTCTTAGTTGGTTTTACCTATGTGCTTAAATCTTATTCGTCGCTTTTGTTTAGGTGATAAGTGAATTTTTTAATTCTAAAGTAAAACAGAAATCTAATTTTTAGTTGGTCAAAAATGTACCTTTGCTTATGTGGCGCACCGAATGATCTTGAAAAATACATACGAAGTGCTTTATTTATATACTAGTTTTGTGCCCGGGCGATGCTCTTGTTGATAAAATTTTTTGATAAAATTTTTTGATTTCTGATAAAGAAGGATATTTAAATTAAATATACGATATCTTATCGATTATTTATAGAATAAAAAATTTTGTATACATCCGATGTACAGTATTAGTGCTACTATACATCGAGATAACTTTTATTGAATTAAGAGTATCTTTTAGACTTTTCGAGTAACTTTTATCAATATAGGATAAATACTTTTATTTATATTAGGGTAGCTTTTGATCATTTTGAGATAACTTTATCATGGATGTACAATATTTTATTATACATCCGATTTTTTTTAAATGTTTGTTTAAATATAATAGTGTACTTTTTGTAGTTTTGTTTATAAATAGATATGTATGTTATTGTTGACTTGAAGTTATTGTTATTGAACTTAAATTATTTTTAATGAAATGAAATTATTTTTACAAAACCAAAATCATTTTTACTAATTCTCTAGTATATTTTTAACTAAATTAATTATATTATAAATGAATCTCATTTTAAAGAATTTTTTGAAACGAATTTTATGATAGAAATAAAATCGAGTTGTATGATATTTATTAAAAATTAAGATTAAATAGAATTATATTGATAATAAAACTCTATACAACATTTTTATCTTAAAAAATCTATTCAAAACTGCTAATTTTATCATCATATGTGTCACAATAATACCTATTTGTTGCCTACGTTGCGTGCACTTGGCGAAAAATTAGAGTGTCAAGTGTCGTTGTCTTGTGACTTGGCTGCGAGGTCACCTTTATATTATAGTGATATGATATTAGATTATTGTGCAAAAGTAAATAAATTGTTGCAATGCTAATCAAATGGACATGGCTCAGCTCCCATGTATGGGTAATTTATGTGATCTATACAATAAGTGATTCATGGAGGCGGATGTACCATGCGCACAGTACATGTACATCCGTTCAAAAAAAAAAAAAGCGGAAAGAATATTATATAAAAATTTAAAAGAACATTTAGTTAAAGTGAAAATAATATTTAATTAAAGTGAAAAGAACATGGTATACAATTGTAAAGAACATATATCTAAAGTAAAAATAACATATTGTTAAAATGTAATGAACGTGATAAAAGAACATAAGACATAAAAAAAACAAAAAACTATTAATAACAAAGAACATGAATGACACTATTTTTTTTTTAAAAAAAAGTAAATAAAAACACTGTTAAATAATATTATTTTCTCCGTGTTACTTGATTGTGAGTATAATGTATTTTTATTTATGACATAAAATTCATTGTTTATTGTGAAATGTTCTTCAAATTTTGTTTTTAGATTATGGTGGGTGGATATAAATAATGTTCATTACATAATATTAT